TAATTTGTTTTGGGAATGTCATTTTCGAGCCTGAAACCTGAAAAACAGGTTTGGGGCTTAAGAGGTTAAATAGTATTGTGTGAGTGTGAGCCTGTGTGGACCCTTGACTCTGACTCTGCAGCTGACAGCTCAGATCTCAGAGAACTTAGGGGAGATGAGCGGCTGGTCCAGGGTCTGTGTGCGCTGCTGCTCGGCATCTGCATCTTTTACAACGACAACTCGCTGGAAAACTACACCAAGTAAGTGGTGTCCTCACGCACACTTTAGACTGCTCCCCTAAACACAGTTGCATGATCTGCAGTATACTCCAAAACCTTAGTTCTCTTACAGTTCCATATTGTGGATATTTTTGGCTGAATTTCTCATTGAGAATAAAATATCTCTGTGTGATATGTTATTTATGTACAAGTTACAGTATTACCTCATTCACACCAACGGTGTTTCAGGGCCGGTTCGGAGATGGAGCTTGAAAAGCACCGGGTTTTCCTGTTCACACCGCAGCGGAGCAGCCTCTTAGCTCCGGTATCCGGTTCATTTCAAGCACCAAAAAATTGTCCGGCCAGAGCAAAAGCACCACATACTTCACGCTTACGTCGAGGCGGGGGCAGGGGCGGGATCAACTCCTGAACAACAAGAAAAAGCCCGCGTTTTATCCAGGTTGTCCACAACGATGGAGAAACTTAACAAGAGTTTCAGAGTTTCAGTGTTTCTGCTTTAGACTGTATAAATAAAGGTTTCTGCTCATGGTGAAGCAACGTGTCTGCGTGTTAAGGTGGAACCTGAGCATTCACGTTGATCACCTCATTATAAATTTATAAAACTATAAATATTAAACTTTACTTCACGTGTTCATTTGAGAACAGCTAAATTACTGATTACATACCTGGGTGAAGGTTACAGTTCATTTAAATGAAAGATACAACGTTACTCCACACTCATGGTTCAGTCCACCTTAAGAAATAAGACCGACCTCGGAAGCAGTTGTGTTTTAAAAAAACCTTTATTGTCACGAGTACACTTTTTTATAAGAATATAGTCTAAACCACAGAAATGACTCCGGAAAAGCTGCAGATAGAGCCATAAGAAATTAATGCAACTGATTTCATCCGCGCGGTTTGGCTTTATGAAGCAGGCACGCAAACGGTTACGTCATGACGCAAACGATGACGCAATGACGCATTACCAGTCGGACTCTGGGCAGTGTGAAAAGAGCCGGAGCTAAACCGAAGAACCGGTTCTGAACCTGAAAAGCTCTAGCACGGAGCTTGAACCGGAGTTGCGTTGGTGTGAATGAGGTATATGTGACTCTTTTGAATGTGCAAACACTATTACAGTTACGCACTTAGAGAAATATTATATGGATAAGTAATCAAGTTTGTCTAGAATTGTTCCTATGCACCGATGCCAAAGTTATACAAAGTTTAGATATTTTGAATCTGTTGAAACAAGCTGTATCCTCTTTAAGCTCTGCCATGTTGTCTCTGTCCTCCTCAGAGACAAGCTGAAGCAGCTCATCGAGAAGCGGATTGGAAAGGAGAACTTTGTGGAGAAGCTCGGCTTCATCACCAAACACGAGCTGTACTCGCGGGCGGCCCAGAAGCCTCAGCCTGTGTTCCTGTCTCCGGAGCAGATGCTCTTCGACCACGAGTTCACCAAGCTGGTCAAAGAGCTGGAGGGTCAGTCGGAGCCTCTTCCACACAGCCAGCAATAGTTCATCTGTCATGGCAGAGTTTAACTTTGTTTTTTACCCACTGCTCCAAACAGGTGTGATCACAAAAGCAGTTCACAAATCCAGTGAGGATGAGAAGAAGGAGGAGGATGTGAAGAAGACTTTAGAACAACATGATAATATCGTAATGCGGTACAAGGACCTGATCCGAGAACAGGTAAACAAAGATATTGAAGTGACTGTTATTTTTGTATATATTGATTGTTGTGCTTTTATTTAGGTCTTAATGCCTGCATCAGGGTTTCTGCTAGGATTTTGTCTCGCCGGTCAAATGTCCGGAAATAATGTATTTTACCGGACAAATTCTAAACTTACCGGTCATGTTTCAATAATAACGATAATAAGAATTGTGTAGCAGAGTTTCCGTTGGCAGGTAATTACCGGATTATAACCGGATATGCTGATGTTTAAAAATCAGTTAATGGGAGTCATTTTTATATTGCTTCATTTTATAATCGTAACAGATCGAAAAGTTCAGATTCGTTTCTCAATAAATGATTCCACAAACAACAAACAACATAATTATTACATTCAAACCAGTAGACGAAGGTAACTTTCCATAATAACACGGGAGAAACAGATCCTCTTTTCCTCTCTCTCTCTCTCTCTCTCTCTCTCTCTCTCTCGTGACAGCCGAGCAGTTTCTCATGCAGCTCGCTAAACAGTGGGCGGGGCTTCAGGTGATTATGCAGCAGCTGATCTGATCTCTCTCTCGCGTCCGGTTATACTTCACTCGCGTTTATGTCCATATCGATCAGTTCCAGCTCTCCTGATCGGCCTTTATAGAGAGAACCGATCAAACTATTAAGAGTGAATATCGGCCGATAATGACCGGCGGCCAATCGATCGGAGTATCCCTAATTATTACCGGACATTTGGACCGGCAGGTTTTGAATTTACCGGTTTTTAATCAATTTTACCAGCTAAAAATTGGTAATTACCGGCTAACGGAAACCCTGGTCTGCATATGTATAAATGTGTGTATATATAGGTATATACATATTTGCACACATATTTTTATTTATATTTGTTTTTGTATTCGGGATTGTGGGAAACGGTATTTCTGTCTGTCTGTCAAACAAACTGGAAGATTGACAATAAAGTTGACTTTGACTTGACTTGACTTTACACTTTTTGAGCATGCTTGGGTTTTATTGCTGTGTATATGATGTTACTTATATTTGATGTTCGTGCCATTGACGGTTTGATTGTGACTGTGTGACCCTCAGGATGCTCAGATCCAGGAGCTGAAGGAGCAGGTAGGGACCATGACGTCTCAGAGCGAACAGATGCAGACGACGGTCACGCAGCAGCTGTCCCAGATCCAGCAGCACAAAGACCAGTACAACCTCATCAAGCTCAAACTAGGTGGGTTCGTCTCATTGGTTGACAGGTAACAGGTGTTTCTGTCCGCTGGGTAAAAGTGCTCCATGTCTGCAAAGAAGAGGAATTTTCTGCAATAGAAAAAAGTATTCAATTACATTTCCGGGTGATTTATTTATTTATTATTTTTTAACAACCCAGTTCTTGTTTCAATTTCTTTGGCCACCGTCCATGTTGATGATAACATTTTACAGCTTCATTGCTGAGATACGACGCACCAGGGATATGCAGCGACGTCTCAAGATAGTTTTCCAACATATTTACTCAACAACTATAACATGTACAATCACAGAGGTCTGAGAGGGAAAGAATAATATTTTGGAGGAATACACTACTCTAAAGGATTAATAACTTTGAACTATAATTAACTATTACGTATCCTTAACAAATAATCATTACTTAAATAAAACCCCTAAACCAAAACGGTGAATAAATAAATCTATGTTTCCAAAAAAGTGCAATTTTCTGTACAATCACCACGTTTGAAAAATGGTTGGATAAACCATGCTGTTTATTCTGGCATCTTTTTGGCCTACTCATTGGTGATGTACTTATGTAAACAAAACTCAACGGGGTATAAACACAACAGAAAAATGCTGTTGTACCGTAAAATTATTATTATTATTACGATAAGCTAAAACATAATTATTCTGACAGGGCTCAAGGCTGATATATGGAGAAATAATATGAGTATAGAAATCTGTATCTACCTGAAGAATCCAGTACCGATCCGGCTATATTATTGTGTGTGTGTTTTGAACTGTGTGTTTCACCTCCAGGTAAGGACAGCCAGTCTCAGGCGAACAGCCAGGCCGACTCTCAGGTGAACGGACTGCAGACGGAGGAGCTCTCGCAGCTCAGAGAGGATCTGGAGGAGCTCCGGCAGCAACACACACTCCTGCAGACACAGCTCAGTGACAAAGACGCTCTCATCAACACCCTGGTTAGTAATGTCCACGCACAGTGTGTGTTTGTTTAAGCTGTAAGTGGAAGTGTATGAACACACACTCCTCCAGACACAACTGTGTGACTCGCTGGGGAACGTTTCCCAAACAGCAACAGAGATCACCTTCAAACACCAGAATCTGATTTAGTGTCAGACAAACTGCTTTACAAATCATCACAAATACAATTGACTTTATTACACAAATGGTGTCTTGTTTCCTCCGGGCCTAACACATAAACAGACTTAGAATAACAGATGACTTCAAACCACACCTTCACTGTCGTGGTAACAGCCAGACAACATTACAATAAAAGAAAACAACTACAGATTTCAGGCTAACCAAAACTCCTTAAAATAACATATACATTCTTATGACAAAACTTCTAACCATATTTGGTGAGAAACCCTTTCCACGGGGAACCCTGAATGCATTGGAGCTGTATTTGTCCATGCACAGAGAGTAATAGGTATTTATTTAGTTGTCTATGTACAGTATCATCAAAGATACTTTCAAAGCCAACAAGTGAAACATTTCCAAGTACTGCCTTCTTAGATGTGAGGATCTGCTTGCATTAAAACACTCTAACATGTTATGTGTCACCTTTTGGCTCTGGAACAAAGCTGTCATTATAATACATTAATACACAAATGTCTTGACTTCAAAATGTATTTCTAAATGTAGAAGTAAAAGCCTCTATAATCAAATTCATGTGCATCTTAATTTAAAATGCAGTATTAATGATGCTATAATGTTATTTCTTTATCCATATGTTAATAGGGGGATGTGTCTTGCTGGTGTCACATAACAGTTATATTAAACTGCACATTTATTTAATTATTTAGTTTTTTTTTGGGACCCTTATTTCTTTATAATAGTAATAATAATAATAATAATAATAATAATAATCATAATCATAATAGCAGCTTTAGTCTTCCATTCCTCGGAAACTCCCATAATGATTTTTTCACATTTCTATGACATTCTATCGACCAGGTATAAGAAAATAATCAGCAGATTAAATTAATTTAATTTTCTTAAAGGCTTAAACTGTTTTGATTGTTATTCTACAATTGGGGTTTTACTTTAATCATCTCACAGAAAAAAAGTGCATCATTAATTAGGGATGCTCCGATCGCCAATTTTGGGGCCGATCGCTGGAATCAGTATCGGCCCGATCGAGTGGGCGGGGCCATTATTACATATATATACATATATATACATATTGTGATCTTCCATTTAAATTGATCTTTAAAATGTAGTTAATGGGGCTCATTCACTGGCGCTTCCACAAACAACAACCAACATAATTATTACATTCAAATGAAGTACATTATTCAAGTTTACATTAACTTTGGAGAATAACACGGGAGAAATGACGGGAGCCTCTCTTTCTCCCTCTCTCCCCCTTTCTCTCGCCCCCTCTCTCTCTCTCCCTCCTGACAGCCTGTCAGTATCGTCTCATGCAGCTCACTGATCCAGTAATGAGTGACCCGACGGTGAAGAATAAATATATTTATAACTAGTTTAGCTTGTTCCAGAGGTAGATCAAATAGCTAAGTGTGTTAGGTCTAACTCTTAGTGTGTGTGTTGCTCTGCTCACCGCTCCGTCACAACGGGTGGAGCTGCAGGATTTCTGCTTCACACACGTTGCATTCCGCTATTTTACTGTCTTTTTCGGACACCTTAAAATACAGCCAGACTGATGGTGAAGCCATCCTGGCGAGCTTGTTTTGCCGCGCACAGAGAAAAGTGTATTTTACGTCATGTGATCGGCTCTCCTGATCGGCCTTTAGAGAGAGCACCGATCGATCGGCAGAGAGTGAATATCGATCGGCAGAGAGTGAATATCGATTGGAGCATCCCTATCACTAATGTTTCCTGTGTCCTCTCTGTGTTCTCTGTGACTGTAGAGATCAGAGACAGCAGAAGGTTCGGCAGCATCAGACAACACAGAAATGCTCAAGGTGAGATTCATCACTGATACACTGTTTCCCCTTTTAGAAACATAAACTGACTTTTTCAATAATAATGTGTGAAGTATGAGGCTGGCATTATTATTCATTTCTGATTTCTATCTTCAACTCCCATGAAAGATGGTAAACCTTAGTTTCGCATACTTGAAATGCTTTTGGATTACTTCCCTCTGTGATCGTTGAATACCTACCACGATTTACCCCTTGAGCTTAATCCTTTTTTAATCATTTCAGTTAATCAATTATGTTTATTTATTTAATCGTTTATTTGGCAGGGACAATGCAGAGTAACGAACACTTAAAACATTAAAATGTGTCGAGCGTAACAGTGCCAGATTTAGCTT